CGTGATTGCTGCAGAGTGGCAGGTGGTGTTATCAATTACCTCTTCTTACCAATAATAATATTAGTATGGTAATATCTTTGCTCACGTGAGAACGAATTAGTGGTCAGTTGTTACAACTCTAAACAGAAAAAATCGTGCTGGATTTAACCCCAGGGTCCTCAAAACAAAAGTTGTGGTGAGGAAAGGAGGCGGGAAGATGATACTTCAGTCTGCCAGGAACAGTGGGAGATGACAGAAAATAAAGCCCCTTCGAATGAAGTTGCTGAGCAAAATAATAACTTTAAAAGACGCTAGATAGATTGTACAAAACGTCAGACCCGTCTTATCCGCACGTTGGTAACTTTGATGGGTTTAAGAACATCCTCGTATGAAGCGTAAGTGAATACAGAACTATTTACATGCTCTTTGTAGAGTCAGTCTGGTAGGTAAGCTTTCTGATGGTTTTTATGAACTACGAATAAGAATAAAAATTAAGCAAACGCATAACTAGGTGTCGCATTAATGTAAAACATAGTGTTCTGGTTGGTAAATAGCATTATTAAACAGGCAGAATAATAACATGACGCTTCTGACAATGAAAGCAACATCGCAAAAAAAGAAGACAATTAACAAAATAGATTTAATTACTGAGAGAAAACCCACTTTTGCTTCCCATCACTTGTAAAGTATTTTGGTGGACCGTCCAGCCACTGCGAGGGGGAAGCGAGCGGGCGGCGTTTGAGCCGGAACACGCGTGACTGCCAGCCCCGCAACCGCGTTTCCCTGCTCGCCTGCGCACCCCTACCTGTGTGGGTGCACAGAGATTTATGTGGCTCGGAGATCCCATCACAACCCCCGCCCCCCCCCCCCCCCCGTCCCCACTGGAGTGGCAGTGTTTTTTCGTAGCCCAACTTCGGCGAATGCATCATTATAAATTTTTTTCCACCCTCGACTTAAGAAGATTAATTAAAAGGTCCGTGGAAAACTTTGCTGTGTAATGGGGGGCGAGGGAGGAGGAAGGGGCCGGAGGAGACGCATATCACTTCATAACTTTCCACTTGCCCTCCGAGCCCGCTGCACTGACAGGGTTTCCCACGGAGSTCGGGTAGAAAGTTTCCCCCGGCGATGTGCGCCGTCGCCGACGGAGCGTCCCAGCGGTGCCTGACGAAGCCGGGGCTCCACAGCTCTTCCCCGGGGGGAGGCAGCGGCCGCCCCGCTCCGCGCCGCCCTGCAGCCGGCTCCGCGACCCCCGCGCAGCGCGACCGGCTCTTTCTCCCAAAGAAAAAGTGGGGAGGCGAGCGACATAAGGGAAAAGAAAACCATAAAATGTATCACTTGTAACCCTAGAATATGTTAATGTCAAGAGATACAAATCTGGTAATTATGCCTTTCTTGCCTGTTGTGTTCTCCATTGTTCATTAAACATTAAAGACGGGATTATTTAATTTTCCACTTAAGGATTCTCTCACGTTCCACAAAATCATATTAATTTTCAATCATTTTAATTTTACAAAGGACAAAGTTTTGGGTCTACAACACTGCCAA